TTAGGGAAACTCAAAGCCTAGGGTTTTATTTTTAAGAAAGGAATGGGAGAGGGGAAGGGCGTGACTCTGGGAGGTGAAACCAGGATTTCGAGGGAGGAGAGTTCAAAAGGGTTGGGGCTGGAAGAGCATAGCTGACTTCAGGTTTTAGGATTTTCCAGAGACTGGGCTGCTCTCCTGAGCTTCAACTCAGCAGTCAAGGCTGGTTTACACTATGACATTACTGCTGCAGATGACAACAGAGTTGGGGGTTCCAGTGGAAGAGGGGCTGGGGACTAAGGAGAACATGTAGGTAGGCTTCTATGTGAGGTCAAACAAGTTTAAAAAAAAAAAACTCTAAGAAGTTAAAAAAAAAATTTTTTAAACCTGAACCTAGATCATTATTGCAATCAGTACTGTGGTTGTTAATGAGGTCAAATCAAATTTAATACATTATATCACGGCCTTCTGAAATACACAGCTCAGAAATATTTAGTGTTTGTCAGTCCCATTGGACATGGCCCTTTTGTAGACTTGAGAGAATGCTTGACTTTTGTCTATGTCCAATCTCTCTCTCTTATTTGCATTTTAATTCTTGGCTTGTGTAGAGTCAGGGTAAATTTACTTACAAATTAAAAAAAAAAAAAGTGTGGTGAAAATAAGTATGAGCCCTTATTTTACTTTGTAGGATCTATTCAGAAACGTCAAGAAAAAAAAGTTTTCCTAGATAGTAGAGTAGGGGAAAGGGGAAAGTTTTCTTTATTTTTAATAACTTGTTCAGAGGCTCAAAAAAGTAATTTTTAAATGACAAAAGTAGTATGAAAGTGTTTCTTTTCATCGCCCATGAGTGGATTTAAATAAGAGTTGTTTTCTTTTATCTAAGTCCACCCTCTTATACTACACTTTAGATATTATGATGTCAAATTACTTTCACATGACCACATACCATAAGTGAAAAGAGAGAAAAGATGATTTAGAAAGTTTACCAGATTCAGGAAAGGAACCAATGGGCTATTTTAAGTGTCATAATCCTACTAGTTTGGGTAATGAATTAACAAGTTGAACACTTTTGTGTTAACTACTTAGATTCGACAATATTTTCTGAGACTACTATGTGCTAAACAATGTAATATATGACATAGGGATATACACACAGAAGTACACTGCATGATCCCATCAGTTGCGGACTTTACAAGTCTTTATTCAATTTATATGTATAAAAAAGTAGAGAACTCTGGCATGTAAACCAACTCCCAAACCAAGAGCCTCTTGCTGTCTGAAATGAGTGAAGGGGTGGGAACCAAGAAATGGTTATAATTTGAATAGATCGAAAGGTCACTTTGGATGTTGGAGATTAGGAAGTAGGGTTAAGCTTAGTCCTTTTAAGAGACTGTGAAGAAACTGGCCTGGTTGAACCTGGGGGTTGTTTGGAACAATCAGGAAGTGATGAAAGGTTTGGGGACAATAATCCTGCTGGTGATGTGGTGGTTCATAGGAAGAAAATCCATCCATTATGAGGTCACTTCAGTCTTCTAAAGGTGGGGGA